CATGTTAGGGGTAGACCTCAGAATAGGTCTCATAACCAAAAATATGCTAGTAATGGAGAATCAAGTTTTAGGAAGAATTCTGCGAATAGGAAGGGTAGATCTAAGTCTAGATCTAAGGCCAGAAAATGCTATAATTGCCATGAATTTGGTCACTTCATTAAGGACTGTCCTAAGCCTAAGAAAAATCAGCATAATGAACATGCTAATGTGGCTTTTGGTGAAGAAAAATTGGGTGATATTTTTATGGTTAATAATCTTTGTGATCATGCATGTGTTAATTCTGTGCTTTCTAATTCCCTATGTGAATCTGATTGGTTAGTTGATTCCGGTTGTACTTTTCATATGACTCCCTTTGAAAATCTTTTTTCAAATTATAAGAAAATTGAAAATGGCTATGTGTCTATGGCTAATGAAAAGAAATGCAACGTGTTAGGAACTGGTGATGTATGCCTTAGATTTTCTTCTGGCTCTATGTTCACTTTGAAAGATGTTAGGCATGTTCCTGATTTACGTTATAATTTGCTTTCATGTGCATCCCTTGAAAATGAAGGTTTTGAGGGAAAATGGGGGAAAGGGGTTATGAAAATCATGAAAGGATCTCTTGTTATTTTTACTGCTGAAAAGAAAAATAACTTGTATGTGTGTCAAGCTGAACTTGTACCTGATTATGTGTACTCTGTGATAGGTGATAAATCTATTTTATGGCATAATAGATTAGGTCACATGAGTAATAAGGGATTAGATATTTTGCATAAAAATGGTCACTTTGGTAGTGATAAATTATCCCCTATTGAATTTTGTGAATCATGCGTGTTAGGAAAACAACATAGGGTTAGCTTCCCTATTTCTACTTTTCCTAATCAATCTAAGTGTGTTGACATACTTGAGTATTTGCATATATGGTACACGTACCGTGTGATTTGGTACAACCAGTTATTTGTGTAATTACTTCCAAAATTTGCTCTTGCATTTTTCTTTTTCTTTTCTTTATATTTTACATTTTTCTTTTCCTCTCCACTTATCATTTGTTTGTAGCTTCTTCAATTCTTCTTGTTTTTTTGTTTTTCTTTTTTCGGCTTCTCTTTTTTCCCTTTTAATTTTGAAACTTATATTTCTCTAATTTTAACTTTTTCATTTTTCTGCTTTCATTTATCGTTTTTCTTTTCCTTTAATTTTGAACTTTAATTTTTCTAACTTATCTTTTTTTTTTTGCTTTTGTTTTTTTCTTTTTATATATGACTTTTGTCTCTACTCCTCTAATTTTGAACTCTTGTTTCTTTTTTATTTTTACGTAAATTTTCTACAAGAATTCTTTCATGCAATTCTTTCAAAAATTCATATCGAATGTCAATTCAATTAAAACGTATACTCCTCTCACTCTTCTATTAAAAGCTCCAACCCTTTAAATATTATGAGTATATTATTCAAGTAAATGTGAACTTAATTTAAGGAATCGGTTGGTGTGAAATAAATATTTAGTGTTTCTTTATGTTATACTCATATGAGCAAACACAGATTGATATTTGAGCATACATGAAATTTTAAATTAACTTTTTAAATTTTCGATGCTCATTTCGTAAGTTATCTATACTCATTTCATAATGGCGTAATACTCATTTTAAAATGAGCATTACATCACATTTTTAAATGTCATATCCATGCATATTGGTGTAATGTTCATTTTAATTTTTTCGATTCTTGTTTAATAGGTCATGCATACACAGTTGTTAATAACGAATTTACTAGATGTACATATTATATAAATTAGTTTATATTCGAATGAGTATAACAATTAAAAGAAAAGCATGCACGATTGAAATCAAGTGAGATTTTGAATTTTTTGATGCTCGTTTGTAAGTTATGTATGCTCATCTGGTATTGATTTTATACTCATTTTAAAATATTTTATCAATAAAAAATACAAAAACATACAATTATATATTGTGATGGATTCTTAATTCAAAGAGGGAATGTACAAAGTGTTGAATAGTATATTGTTACGTATGTTAAATTAAGCGAGTATAAAACTTGAAAGGAATGAGCAAATAAAACAAAAATGTATACTTGAGCACACTATATAAAGAATGTAGTGTACTCAATTGACGGCGACTAATACTTGGACGACGGACGCTTCTTCTTTCCAATTCATCTGCTTAATTTGAATCCTTTTAAATTTAAAGAAATCCTTTCCGCCAACTTAAAAAAGTATTTTTTGATACACATTTTATAAGTTATGTATGCTAATTTATTAATGATAAATGCTCATTTGATAATGTCATATTGAAGCATATTTCAAAAGTATCATATTATATTAGACTCACATAGGATTTGATCATATACACGAGAGAACAAATCATTTTACTCAATTGCATGATTTGAATATTCAATAGAGGATGTTTGATGCTCAATGCTCATTTGTACGTTACATATGCTCATTTGGTACTCATGTGCTCATTTTTCATTTTTAAAATGTCATAACAATGCATATTTCAAAAGTACCATACCACATTAGATTCGCATATTGAAATTCATAGGAATTGATTATAGATAAAATTTAATGAGATTTTATAAAAGAAAAAATAAGAAAAAGAAAGTGAATTACAATATATGAAGTTGATAACACAATACTCATTATTTGACTTTTAATGTCCAGTAGAATACGTCTGGTTTTCATTAAGAGTGTATTAATGTTCATATAACAAAAATCGCGATTGTCACTGAAATTACGAAAATGACACCGTTTCACTGTCATGCCACCATTATTAGGATGTTTTTACTTGGACTGTAATTTGCCCCAGTCCAGACCAGACCAGACCAGTCCAGACCAGACCAAACCAGTTCAGACCAGACCAGACCAGACTTGGATAGTTATAAAAATACAAAGAAACCAGACCTTACCAGACCAGACCAGACCAGTTCAGACCAGACCAGACCAGATCAGACCAGACCAGACCAGACCAGCAAATTACAGTCCAAGTAAAAACATCCTTAGACGCTTAATACTCATTAAAGTTGGATTATTGCTCATTACAAATACACTAATGCTCATTTAGCTGAAACCACGATTTTCACATTAATTACAAAAATGCTACGAAATTATTTTGCTATTTTTCCCTTGGGCCTGTTACTGGGCCGGCTGTACGGTGCTCACTGTACAGCCGGATGTACCATATACGCACTCTGAAGTATATGCTATGCTTAAATTGTAGAAATATTTACTTTTGTAATTAAGAATGTTTTTACTTGAACCACTTTTAACTCGAGATTAGATGAGACCAGATCAAATCTGTCACACCAAATCAAATGAGAAAATTCTAATTAAATTAAAAACATCAGCTCACGTTCTATGTTTGATTCGGTGCCCAACATAATTTCGACACAATCTTATACTTGCAATTTTAAGAAGATGATATTCTTATATTTTCTTAATAATTGGTTAGTGTGAAACAAATTGACCAACACTAGACTAAACTAGACCTGTTCAGACCAAAACAAGAACTAAATAGACTAGATCAGATCAGAAAATTTATGTTCAACACAAGACTAAAACTAGACCTGTTCATTACCAAACATAGTAACTACGTAGTTACTATATTTATATCTGGGCTCGAGAAGTGTTCGTTTGCTGTATTTGGGACGGGTGTAGTTGTTAAGCGTGTGGCGATGGAGGACAGGAGGAGTATGTGAACCAGGAGGTCCTGGGCCATATACTCCATCATGAATGATAGATATTTCTTTTTTACAATTCTTTCTAACCTATATAGCATTTGCTCAATGTTAATGCCAACATTCTTGAACTGGGATAAGATTCGAACCTGTGACTCTTCTAGGGAGTGCCACAGTGATGTCATCAGACCACAAGGTATTTGACATCATGAATGATAGAGATTAGAAATTCTTATTTTAAGAGGGGTTTTCATAAGAACCATTCTTATTTTCATTTTTTATGTAAATCAACCTTTTTTTTGGATTCAATTTTTGGATTAAACAATAGATAGAATTTGATTTTGCATTCAATTTTTTTGAGTGATAAATAACTTTACACCATACTTTCAAAACCATTATGTATACGCCTCATTTCACTATACAATCATATCATTTGACATTATCCCTCACTATTTCATAATTTTAGGACTGATGAATGCAAATATTAATATTGTTGAAAATGGACAACAAAATTCAATATTGCTCAAAATATGATATACAAAGTTAAATTCCCTGAATTGGTATATATAAATGATGAATTAATATAAAGATTCGTTATTAATGAATGAATACATTGTCGTGCCACACTAGAGTTAGACTTTGTTTGCAACCACTTAAGAAAATTGATTTTGACTTCTTTTGAAAAAAAAATCACTTATTTTATCAAACACTACCAACTTTTCTTTTCTCGACTTCCGTGTATAATCTACTTTTTACTTCTTCTATTACACAAAAAACACTTATTTTACCAAACACTACCAAATTTTACTACTAATCAATTTTTATCAAAAAGTGTTTTTATTTAAGCACAAGTGGTTGCAAACAAAGCCTTAGTCAGTTTGGTTAGGATGTTTTCTTTTGGACTGTTTTCAGTCCCAGACCAGACCAGACCAGACCAGACCAGACCAGACTTAAACAGACCAGACCAGACCAGACTTAAACAGACCAGACCAGACCAGACCAGACTTGGATAGTTATAAAATACACAGAGACCAGACATTTACCAGATCAGACCAGACCAGTTCAGACCAGACCAGACCAGACTTAAACAGACCAGACCAGATCAGACCAGCAAATTTCAGTCCAAAAGAAAACATCCTTAATACGGAGTATTAATTTGTAGTAATTGATGAGATGTGCCAAAAGAAACGGTTGATCAACTATTTTCCAATCATCACAAATATATCTCACTCCATATTACTCCGTATACAATTATATTGAATATAGACATATAGTCAACTCAAATTTTAAATTGTTAACGATATTTATATCAGTATATGAACTTTAGTACCATATATACATATTAAGCGATCTGCAAATTTATTTAACCTTCAACTAATTTTTTAGATCTGAAAACGATAATGTCGTAAAGATGGATTTGCTCCGACGAAACAATGCAATGCACGTGACAGTCAAAGGAAGCCATATATTGTTGTGAATTGTGATGTTATACATTTTTCATTGTTTTTGCTTTTATCATATACTATGCGCATTTGGCATTTTTTTTGGCTAGTTTTTCATTTTTTTTTATATCATCAAACGGGCCTCTATTCATATCAAAAGATTCAGGATCATTACATCAAGCAAAAGGAGAATAAAACTGACACCAACTGAAACTTCAACAACTACGACTGTAACCCTATGGTGAGACTTTGAGACGGTCACCCCTGAGAGAGCAACACGAATCGCTAACCATGTAGTAGGCTTGACACAGCCAAACCTATTCTCATAGATCCAACCATATCCAATGACATAAAGAGAGGCAAAAAACTCAAACAAAGTGTCAAAACCAACAACAAAAGTGGACACAAGAAAACAAATAACAAACAGATAAAAACTACAAGAAAAGCGTTCACGAACTCTAGCACCTCGTACATCCCATGGTGGTGGTTCAGGAGGAGGTCTTACCACCGGTACCATGCTAATTGATACTCCGTGACCTTTGTCTGCCAAAGGCCATGCATCAATCCTCCATCCCTGCATAACCAAACTCATCCCTGCTTCATGCAACCAGAGTAAACGGATAGGCGGCGCCGATCTTCTCCAACCTTGACCACAACGCCGATCTCCTCGAGCCATGACAGCAAATCCGCCCTTCGAGTATGAAGCACAAACAACAACAACCGTCCTTCGATTAAAATCGAAGACGGAAATAGCGGTCGTCCTTCGATTAAAATCGAAGACGGAAAAAGCGGCCGTCCTTCGATTAAAATCAAAGACGGAAAAAAACTCCAAGCGGCCGAAGCCCTAGAGAGAAGCGAGAGATGATCGAACTCCAACCTGCACTTGGAAACCCTTGCAAACGGAGCCTTAGAGCTACATGATAAAAAAATCCCTCATCGTCAACCCTACTCCGATCCAAGAATTACTGGAAGCAGTTGTCGGATTCTATATGTATTTTGTTTTTAAAAAGGGACATATTAGTTAATTCTATAATAAATGGTACGCTAGTTTTTCATTGTTATATATACATTAAACAAAATGACATGTATATTAGTTGTATAACTAATATACATGTCATTTTGTTATATATATTAGTTAATTCTATAATAAATGGTACGCTAGTTTTTCATTATTATATATACATTCCTGTATGAAGCATTTATTGGGCCATAAGAACTTAAATATGATATCATTATATAATTTAATTTCAAAAAAAAGTGCGAGATAATGTAATGTATGATAAAAAAAAGTGCAATAATATCATTTATTGGCTAGTTTTTCATTGTTATACATCCAATTCTTTATAATGTAATGCAGGATAAAGGCTATAAAAGTGCGAGATATTACAATATATAAAGTATAAACCTTCATCTATATCATATCATTTATAAAATAAATTCCAAATTCTTACAATGTAAGATAAAAATGTAACTTAATTAGTAATGATAAAAATGTAATTAAACGTTGCCTACTACACATTGCTGCGTGCTTTTAAGAAACGCAAACCCAGCAGTGAGCGGCTAAATTAAAATGTACCTATAGGCTATAGCAACCAAATACTCCGTACTACTTAACATTTTAAATAATTTTAGTACGAAGTATATATGGTCTGTATATATTTATATATAAATATATTTCGAACTTACTAAATCAAGAAGACATGAAAAAGTCAACTAGAAGAAGGGAGTAAAATCATGTTCTTCTTTGGCACAAAGATTCTTCAACTCTTCAGCCACCCTATCAATCTCCTCATCCCCTTTCTCCGCCAGCATTTCACGCATTGCCGCCGCCTTTACCCTCACGGCTTCTCCGCCCTCCTCCCTTACGACCGCTTTGATCACGGCTGCTATTTTCTCCCGGTGATGCTTCCCCTCGCCGTCCCTAATAACTTCCACCGCCACCCCTACCTCCGCCGCCAACTTGGCGTTCACCGGCTGGTCGATATGCATGGGCATGGCGATTATGGGAACACCGTATTTCATGCCCTCCATGACGGAGCTCCACCCGCAGTGGCTGACGAACCCTCCGATGCTTGGATGCTCCAAGATCTTAGCCTGTGGGGCCCACCCCTTGACCACCAAACCCCTCTCCCCGACCCTCTCGAAAAACCCTTCGGGTAAGACTTCTTTGAGATCGCCATGGTCTTCTCCCTTAGGAAACCTTAAAAAAATGACATGTATATTACTTATAGACTTTTTCCAAACAAAAATATTGTTTTTTAGACATAAATATGACTAGTTATTGTGTACGACTAATTGAATAAGAGTCATTATAGTGTACGAGTATTTCAAAGTGACAAAAATATTGTTTTTGAACATAAATATGTCACCTTTTTAAATATACCTATCATTGTCATTTGAATTTAGTTTAGTATTTTCATTAAAAAAAGGTCAAACCTTAAAACCCATACGAAGTTAACGTAGGCACTGACAAGGTCCAACCCATGGGCAATCTCGGTCAAATCTTCTTTGGTCAAGAAGTACTCACTTCCAAAAGAAACAAATACCGTTGACTTTTCTTCCTTTCCGTTCAGCCATTGAATCACTTCGGAATTCCCATCTTCTCTACTGGGTTCTTGGACCAAGGGTCCGACCGGGACGATTTTCTTCCCGGTCAAAGTAGTGATGAAATCACTATACTTCCCCTCGATCTCATCGAAGGTCTTGATCAAAACAAGCCCGCAAGAGCGGGCGAAGCACTCTCTCACGCGCCTTTTGTCCCTCTCCCGCCTCTCGGGCGGAGTCGATGCATTCTCTTTGGCTATCAAAGCGAGTTCATAGTCTCGATGACGGATCGAAGGGAAGGGATACTCAACACCTGGTTGTTTGAACTGTTGGACCATGTAGGAAGTCATGGAGGAGCTACTGCTGATGAACTCCACGGCGGGGATGTTGAGTCCCGCTGCCTCTAGCGGAGCCCACGGCTGGAGGAAGTCGTAGATGAGGAGGTCGGGTTCAATGTCACGGAGTAGTTGAGCGAAGACAGGGCGGGAAGCATCGAAAGCTTCCTTGAGAAGGGGCATGAGGTGAGGGGGGAGGCCATTTGTGGTGTGGTATTGGGGAGGAAGATCGGGGGAAGAAGGGAGCGTAAGGTCCAAGAAACTCACATCGTATGAAACGATAACGAAGTCGTCGTCATTGTCGTCGACATTTTCGTTGAGAAGTTTCTTCTTAACGGGTTCTAGGGTTGCAGGGGTGGAACATATGAAAATCTCAAAGCCTCTAAAGCTAAGCTTCTTAGCCAATTCCAAAAAAGGGGAGATATGGCCATAGCCAAGCCATGGAAACATCAACACTCGTAGGGGGTGGTCATGGCGGCTAGCTATGTTTTGCTCCAAAGAGGTTCTCATGGTTTTGAATTTTGGTCGTGTAAAGATCTCTGAATCTCTCTATCTTTCTAAATTCTAAACTTTCACAAACTTCTCTTTTAATTTGAGCGTATGGGAAATGGAAAATGGTATGAAGAAGTTTAGGGAATTTGTTAATATATAATGGAATCCCTCACATGAATATGGTAATTAATCTTCTCTATAGAATTTAATACTTGTACATTATTGAGATCAGAAGATCTTTGCACTTAAATATAGTACAAGCTAAGGTTTGCATGCTATATATGGTCGTTATGTCCTCGGTAACGTGCATGGATTAATTAGCAGTATATATATCTTCAAATCCTTTATCTCAAGAGAATCAAATCCGTATTTTATAGATCCAAAATTAAAACAATGATAAAACTGCAACTCTAAATATTAATATTATCAATTGAACTTTAAATATGACTTGAGTGAAGGTTTCTTCTTGCTCGTACAAAAGATATTATTAAAATTTGGGGGGAAATTCTATATAGGACTAAAAAATGATGCATGTCAGTTCTCAAAATATGACCAAACACGTGGAACGAAGTGGAAAAAAATATGATGCATACATGCAATATGTCATTCCATTAGGGAAAAAGACATATTTTGAGAAATACGGAATACATATTATTTTAGCCATGTAGGAGTAAGTTTGTCTTAAAGACGTTAAAGTTAGGTAGACAATGTAGTTATTAACATTTTAGGTTGAAAAGATAATTTATGCGATTTCATGGGATTCAGAGGTTACTAACAAAAATTGTGCATTATCATCTTTTATGACCCACCTCAATTGCTCAGATTTATATAATTTCCCAAATTAAACTACTTTGAAATGAGGTACGCCTCCAGTGTCCTACATTAATCTATCTTTGTCTTATCCCCTCCTAAATAGGTAGTTAAATTAATCATATATATGCATACCAAAGTAATATTTAACTCGGAAAGATTGCGTAATCTGTATATTATAGGAGTACTCCTTATATTATTTAATTACTATATATATATATAGTAATCTGAAATTTTTTGAGCATGTTCCTCATCAAGTCTAGTTTGTCCATACCAAAATTCAGCTCAAAATTCGATCGGGAAGGCATTCAAATCATTTTTTGAAGTTGACTGCAGTTTTATATGTATACTTTGACGCAGTCAACTTCAAAAAATGATTTGAATGCCTTCCCGATCGAATTTTGAGCTGAATTTTGGTATGGACAAACTAGACTTGATGAGGAACATGCTCAAAAAATTTCATCAAAAAATTCCACCGGGAAGGTGCCCAAACGGGCTCGGTCGGACGGAGCACCCCGTCAGGCCGGCCTGACAAGAAGACCACTATATATATATATATATATATATATATATATATATATATATATATATATATATATATAGGGTTAAGATCGGATACAAAGTGTGCTTCCAATACAAAATGCAAATTCATCTCATCCATCCAATTTAACAAAATCAAGGGTTAGTTTTTATTTGAGCATTAATACTCAATCCATATAAGTGGAGAATTTTTCTCCTATAATCCGTATTACATGGGACCAGCCATTAATGCATTGGTTTCCTATCTTGACCATTACATTATTAAAATCAATGGTTAGGATTAGTTTGCATTTTGTAAATTAGTTCTTTTAATTAATAAGTGAATTAACCTAGCGGTTGTGTTTCCATAATCCATATTCTACTTGTCAGTTACGGAAAGGCATGGAGCCGGGTTGGGCTCAGCCGGCCCCAGTTGTAAATAATTGAAACCCGGTACCAACCTAGTTTGGTTCGGTACCAGTGCCAGTATATATGGTTCCAAAGTCCAAACAGTACCAGACTTAGGCCTGGGCCCGACTGGTCCGGCCCAAAAAATGAGGCTGAGGTTGTCCCGTTTCTACGCCAATCCTAGTACCATGCCAGGCCAGTCTCGGGTCGGGCTGTCCGGACTCGGTCCATCCCTAGTTTCGGACTCGATGTCCGTGTGCTTTTAAAAAAAATATACATAGTATTGGGGGTGGACACAGTTCATCTGCTTGATTAAGATAATTGATAAGTTTTCAAGAACGGTTACTTCCATTTAACAGTTAGATTCAGTCCGGGCTCTCGGTTGTTATTTGATAAAAGGGTCAAATAAGGCCCTTTACTATCTCCAAACAATCAATTAGGACCATGTACTAAATAAAGTGTCATTTACATCCATCTACACATAAAAAACAGTCATTAAGGCCATTGACCGAAAGGTAACCTGATTTAGCAGCCTAGCAGGTTCCTTGCTTATGTGGCCTTTTTTTCAATTTTCCTTTCAGTTTCCTTTCTCTTTTCTTTTTTCTTTTTTCTAAATCAGGTCACCATCCGGTCAGTGGTCTTAATTGATAGTTTTTTATGTGTATCTGAATGTAAATGACATTTTTTTGAGTACATGGTCCTAAATGATGGTTTGGAGATAGTAAGAGACCTTATTTGACCCTTTTCTCTTTTTATTTTTTGGAAACAATAGCATCACCCTACAAAGTACGGAGGGTCTAGCAAGTAATAACACTTTTACACTCATTAAGTATCATTGTCACCATAATATAGTAAAAATTCATAATAAAATAAAAATATACAATAAAGTTATGACTTGGCAAATTATCTAACCACAAATCTAAAAATTAAATAATACCTCTGTCCCAAATTGTTTTGCAAAGTCTACATTTTTTGTCAACTTACAATGTTAAAGTAAAATTTTCCCTATTGATAAATAATTAAATTTTAATAATTAAAATTTACATATTCAAAAACTACATTAAAATCTCTATAAAGTTGCAAAATCAAATTAAAATTTAATTAAATATTGATCCTATTAAAGTAAATAAAATGAATTCATTTGACCCACAAAACCAATTTTGCAACTCAATTTGGGAAATGAGTTGGGGAGGGTCAATACAAAGATTGGGGAGTAACATATGACCACAAAAATTATATAGCACCAAATTCTGAAATGTAGAAAATTAGACATCTTCAAGAGCGTAGCCAGGATCAAAGATTGAGGAGGGTCAATACAAAGATTTTATTGCAGATAAACTTTGCATGAAAATTTCCAATTGTATCATATGTTCCCAAAGGGACATTTTACATGTAAACTTTTACACTAAAATACAAGGAATTTTCAAATTGAGGTGGGTCAGGGCCCGGTTGCCTCCCTACCTCCACCCCTCGACTTTGAAACTCTTTCTAATAGACTCAAGAGCTCTCATGTGTTCTAGTATATCGTATTAAATATAACAAAGTTTAGTAAATATTTTTTTAGAACGGGTCTGTCCGGATACTCACTTTTTCAAGTTTTAATACCCATTCAGTTCCTAAATTTTTAAGACCCGCCCGACCCCGTTTGCCCACCCCTACATAGTAGATATATACAAAAGTTCCATAACTCACAAGTAGAATATTTAATAAATGAATTAAAGTTCACCCCGGGACAAGTTTTTTTAAAATTTTCTAAATGAACTCTGCTATATTCAGGTAGAATATTTGGAAAATGAATATAAATAAATTCAGTTACTCATTTTTTAATACAGAGTAATAAATGACTTAATTAACCAGCGGTTTCCATAATATAATCGCTCGCCCAGAACGAGTTTTCTTTGAACATTTTAACATTTTTTGTTGAAAAAAATGTTGAAAGCAGGAGTTAATTAGCGTTTGAATTATTTGGCTAAAACAGATGGATTTAGATCATCTAAATTTCTCCTAGACTTTTTCTTCTTATAAAACAGATGGATTGGGTCATCTGTCCTCACTCACATCGGACAAAATCTCATCACAAGCCCCCCTCCCCCCCTCCATCCCCTAGAAGACCGCCTTACCATCACCGTCCTCTAAAAGATCCAAAACTACACCCACCTCCACACTTACTCTTCTACTGCGCCCAGCGCCCTCAATCACAGGGTCATCATAGAACTTAACTGGGATCATACCCTCATCTTAATTAGGATGCATTTGCTTTGCTTGGTCTAAAGTCCATCAACAATCACATCCTCAAGATAAAGTCACAAAGCTTTCCCATCCACCTGAAGGGAACTTGAGAAACAACATTTTGGGAACATCTACATGATCTATCTCATCTGAAAATAAAAGGCTTGTGCATTTTTCAATTTCAGTACGATCAACAAAAATGTCAAACTTGGGGCGAGGCTTAGGTTGGCAAAAACAAATGCCATCATTTCATGAGTACTTGAAATCACTCTCAGATTTAAAGCATTGCTCTCAACCTCGAGATCAGCATGTTTTTGCTATCTATGATATTACTGAGCTGACTGGCAAGTCAAAGATTGCTCTCCCACCGGGCCCCTGATAGAATGAGCCTCTTTGTGAGAGCATCTCCACAATAGCACTCCTATTTGGCCCCATCTTCCACATGTCACTAGTAGCTCCCAGTTCTGATACATTGGCATGTTCCTATACTGGTCCACAATGGCTTCCTGCAGCTGTTTGCCTCATCACCAAGTACAGATCCGTTTGAATACCAATTATGAAATGTGGAGCACAAACTGCCCACAGCAGTGTGCTACCTGATTTCCCATGGCTGGAAAATCTATCGGCACCTGGTGGCTTACAGTAAGGGAGTCCGCTGTGATTCAAGTCCATTGAAGGTCTGACACCAAAGACGGACCGGACAAGAAACTGTTGCATCACCAAAATATAACTGACATGAGGTGTGTCAGAAGATGAAACCATTACCAACATGGAAAGCCAATTAGGGACCCCTCGCTAAGAACTTCCTAGAAATCTCCAACATTTGACTCAACACCATCATCGCTTCGATGCCTGCTGCCTGACTTGACTGTACAATTATCTTCATAAGAGTGACCATGAAGGACTATCAATACTTTGCCTAAAAGGGAGAGGAGGCGGCAACCTTGGAGGCACACATCTGATGAAAGTTGAAAAAACAGATAGCGTCTCCATCTGGATGCCAGTTCACGGCCTGCAAATGCATCCATTGGCAGATCACAATTTCAGATGTCATTCCTCTGAACCATCTACTAAATAGCTTTTCTGTACCGAGTTGAAGAGGTTTTATACACTGCGCTAGTCAATCTAGAATAATATATATATATATATATATATATATATATATATATATATTGCGTCAAAGTCTTTCCTCATAAGTGCCGTCCCTGTTCTCTGAACCTTCTCACTTTGATTGCCTATAATGATCTCTTGCAATATAAGGGCCTTTCTGCCTTTACTGGGCGAGCTTCTTCTGTTATGGTTTGAACTTCGTTTTAAATCATTATTCCTCGAGGCATATTAAACAACTAACTTAACTATTTGCTCGAATCCAAATACTTCCTTTGTCCATAAATTAATTTTCCTTTGTCCATACTTCCTTTAACATATGAGGTTCATAATATTTCTCTCTTTTAAATAAATCTCATCAACACACTTTTCACTTTCTTCAATCCCATGGCTGATTAAAGTGGACAAATTTTTTGGGGAAAGATAAAATATATATTGTATGGCCAATGTCTCCATACCGCCCATACATGAATATGTTATGTATGGTTATATTCAAATCAGTAAGCTTCAAAAGAATACTTAAAAATAAAAAATAAAAAGTAAAAAACATAAGCATATGCATATTTAGTGGTCAAATGAAAGAGTGTCAATAATATGGTTATTTGTGAGCCATAAATAAGCATTATCAACAAATATGAAAGATCATGAAGCCATGAAGTATATTAGTACCATGAACAAGGCAGGGAATGAATATCCACAGGGCATCAAAAAAACATTTCCCATTTGCAAACTCATGTTTTATGCATTGTACCATTCTGCACTATTCGTGTTTTAACACCACCTGGTCCAAAAACAAATCAAATGCTTCAATATCAATATAAAGAAAAGCAAAGCCCAGATAAATATTGTCACAGTGTTTGCTTGATAAAAGATATCATTGACCTTCAGTTTCCTCGAATATGAGTCCTTTAACTTTCTCAGCAGTTGCATTATACTCAAACCTAAAAACAATAAACAATTAAAAAAGCTAGTCCTAAACAAATGAAATGAGGGAAAATGTTTGAGCACTAATAATCATCGCAACAAAGACACCAGAATATCTATTCATTTATAAATTACCTGTTTGAGTGAAACACTTCAAGATCATAGTTAGATACGCTCTTGGTAGTGTCAACTATGCATGATAGAATTTCAGTCTTCCTAGTGCTTGCAAGGAGTATATCATATTCAGTTGGGATAATGATTGCAATGAAGTGATCACTTAGTTTGCTCAAGCAAAGCTTGTCTACGGCTGCAAGGGCTACCCGCCTCTTAAGAACATCACCTTCTGGGTCTACCAAGTATATTGCACAATCAGTGATTAGAAGAATTCTCTGCTTCATCTTCCCTGAACTCGTAATCTTTAAAACCTTATCTACAAAAACAATGTTTTTGTCCCCTGCAAATGATATCATAGCCTATATATCAGAGTAGGTATTATTTATTTGCAGATTGAATGCATAAAACACAGATCTTCACGCAACTATCTGATCTCTTGAAACATTAATTTGAAATCATAAGATGTAATTATTCATTTTTCCTGCAGCTACTGAGATAGAGATCGATTCAGTTCTCACAAAGATGAACATATACCCAGCATTCCTTCAATTTAAGTAGAAGCAAAAAGGAATTTCTTAGTTCTCATCCGTCAATCAATAAAAAACTTCACACCACAACTCTAGTACTTGCAATTAATCTGAACCATTGTGCTTCAACCATCAAGCATTTTAATAAATAGCGTGCGTTTCTTTTTCTTTTTTTGAACCCAATTTAATTAGGCCTTGTTTAAACAAATTCAGTTGGAAGCTGTGAGAAAAGCACCTTGCTTATCGAGAATTTTCATGAGGTAAGGACGAGAACGCACGCCGAGATGGTCGCCGGGGCAATCAACGCGAGGAGTGGGGTCATGCGTTCCTTCCTCTTCTCTGTTCTTCTTCGTGGCGGTTTCTTCGTCGTCATACCGGCGCTCGCCGGCTTCAGCTAGTTCTACTCGGACCCCCCGATTCGATCCGCTCATCGTCATTCCAGTGATGTTAACAGTAACGTAAAATCTGGAAATATGGGTTCAGTGCGGGAGTAATCGGGCTAACACTAAAGGTTGTTAAAATAGTAAATTTTGATCGAATGGGTGGAAGGTTTTAAAAATCGAATCGTAAAATCGAATCGTGAATCGTAAGATTTTATAAAAAAATAAGTAAATAAATATCTAAAATATATGAGACAACAAATTAACATTAATATGTAAAGTGGTATGATAAAATCATCCATATGACCATATATATTTAAAATAAAGTTAACAAAATAGATCCCAAACAATTAACTTGCACCCAAGAAGGGGAAGCGGCGGACGTCTCCCTAGTTCTTAGGGTTAAGTTTTTGCGGCGATTCTTCCCTATCGATCGTGAGGGGGAGATCGGCTTGGCTTGATTGTTGATTTGAGTGTGTAGAAGACTTGCGCCAGAATCTTGCAGTGCTGCTAGTCCTTGTTTCAAAAAAAAAAGTTAACAAAATACTACCTCCGTCCCAAAATGATTTTCAAATTTGACTTTTCTTGGCCAAAGAATTTCGTTTTGTTCGCTTGATTAAGATGTCAATTTTTAATTATTTTCTAATTTGAAGTTTACAACTTTGAAGAGATTTTAATGTAGTGTATGAATATGTAAATTTTAATTATTAAAAATTGAATTAATTATGTTTTCAAAAAAAAAAAAAAATTGAATTAATTATCAATAGGGAGGATTGACTTTTATTATTGGTTGACCGAAAAATATTGACTTTGCAAAACAAATTGAGACGGAGAGAGTAGATAATAATGTAGATAACATGACCAAGGCAAACCTCCATTCATATATTAATTACTAGAAACAATTTAAAAGAAGCAAACCTGCACTCATATACTTCGTATTAATTACAAAAGCAGCTGTGTGCTCATATAATCATTTACTACGTATTAGAGAAGCAAGAACACTCATAAATTTTGCTAAAATAATACTTCGTATATTAATATATAAATAAAGTTAATAATAAAATAATCTACAAATTTTTAGTGATTATTCGAGCATCATAACACCATCATCTTGAGAAAACTACTTCGTAGTTCGTATAGTTATGGCATTCTAAAAGATATGATTACAATATCAGGAGTAATTTCATAGGATTAAAACATATATCTAATGCCCAATTTTGAAGTAATCTTGTGCGGAGATTGTATTACGGAGAAACAAAATGGAATTATATATAAATCATCCTCTTGGACGCAGAGGAGAAGCAAAATAGCAGCTGTGACTTGTGCGATCTGATTTTGAAGAAGGAAGAAGATCGAAGGGTTAGTGGGTTAGATATTTTAGAAATTACGGAGTAGCTTTTACTAGTACGAGTAATATTTTAGAGCATTGCGCTTAATGCACGCGGGCGGCGGGATATTGGGGTTTCATTTTTTAGTTAAAATTGTTTCATGCTACTTATTATGACCATGAACAAAATCGTACGAATCGCACATAATCGCGATTTTGAACGATTTTACACGATTCTATTTACGATTTCACACGATTTTACCAAAGTATGATTTAGTTTACGATTTGGATCGATCTTTTACCGTGAAATCATAAAATCGTACCATTTTACGATTTGAATCTAGATTTTGACAACTTTGCTAACACTTATAAGCTATTGTTACCCCAATTTGTAACCCATTTTGTACCCCTCCCTATATTTGTGGTTCACAAAAGCAATTCATTAAAATGGAGCAATTCATTTAATGTTTTGGGCTTTTGTGAACCACAAATATAGGAAGGGTGTACAAATGAGGTACCAAATGAGGTACCTCTAGCACAACTCCACTTATAATAGGGAGTAATCGAGCTTTGTTTGGGGCCGATTTTGGTTTTTTTTTTAAAGAAAAACACTTATTTTATTAAACACTATCAATTTTTACTTTCTCAGCTTCCATGTAGGATCTACTTTTTACTTTTTCTATTACACAAAAAACACTTATTTTACCAAACACTACCAACTTTTACTACTAATCACTTTTTATCAAAAAATGCTTTTTTTAAGTACAAGTGGTTGCAAACAAAGCTTTAAAATACGGAGTAATTTTTAATCATTTTAACAATATTCCTCGTCACTAAATAATTTTGAAATAACCCCTACATGTATAATGAATTTTATAAAATACTACGTAGTAGTTTTTTATTTGAGCTTTGCGCGATTGAATAAGTGCCAATGTTGTATACATAAAATACAATTTATATTTTATAGAGCTAGATTAAAAATTGGATACAAAAGAAGATCTAGTTGAAAGATTCCCAATCACATCAAAGTGAGAAGGGTGCTAGGAAAGTGTTTGATACTTTCCCATTTATGGATAAGTTTACAAATGTAAAATGTAAGAAATAAAAAAAATCACTTCAATTTCTCTTAGGTTCAAGTCCCAATATTTTATGCATACAACAAGTTACAAATCGGCATTAATAACAATGCAATAATTATCAGCTAATATGGCAACCAATTAAATTAGGAGCTATAAACTACATATAGCATATAATATGAAATGATATTTAACTATTTTTCTAAAAATTAAAAGTTAAATAAAACAAGACCCATTCGTAGTAAAAAATGGGTTTTTTTTAAATAGAAAATAACTATGAATTACAAATATAAGTTATACCATCTCTATCTAACAAAATAGCACCTCCAATAGTAGCTAAGTTCCTGAAGTTTGAGCCAACCGAGCTGCTGAGATATAATCTCATTAATTTGCATTATTAGTCCCCTACTTCTCGAAGGAGGGACTTTGTCTCTAATAGTTGAGTAAAGAGAAAGTTATCTAATTGCTTTAACGCTATGGAAGAGCACTGTCTTAAAACTTGAAGTAAAGCTGATGCTAATAGATTCAGAAGGGAGTCACATGTAATTTGATAGCCAATAGTCACCCTAAAATTCCCTTCGTCGTCTCGGATTAAGGCACCAGCAAAAGCTTTACCATGGTTGAAATGAAAATCCAGATTAAGTTTGAGATGTAAGGGTGTTAGGAAATACTTGTACATATTTTATATTAGCCTTTAGTTAGGCCCGGCCGAGCATATATGTATTTTTGTAGGGCTTAGTTTTTGGGCCCAAGTGCCTAAGATTATTGTGTATATTTATACTCCTTATTTGGTTAATGAGAGGCAGATCGTTCCTTTCTAAATTAATTATCATGGTATCAGAGCACCACTTGCTCGGCAAACCAACATCCTCGTAACTCAGCCGCGATCCAGAGTTGCTACACCAGTGTTGTACGTAGCTTGCGATCATGAGCGGCGAGGAAAAAATAGATGTTGCATCTCCGTATTATCTTGGACCCGGAGATCAGCCTGGAAACATTATTACTCATGTAATTCTTACCGGTGATAATTATGTGGCTTGGGCGAGAGCAATTACACTCTCGTTGAAGGCACGGAGAAAATTCGTATTTGTTGACGGAACGATCAACAAACCGACTGAGGCTCGAAAATTGCTTAACTGGGAAACCGTAAATTCCATGCTTGTATCATGGATTTTACGTGTTGTTGACGGGAAAATTGCGGCTTCCATACCGTTTCATGACGAGGCTAGGCCTCTTTGGAATTACCTGGAGCGTCGCTTTTGCGTAGAGAATGGCCCTCGAATTCAGCAGCTCCGAGGCGATGTCGTTGGATGCAAACAGAAGAGGGGCATGAGTGTGGATGACTACTATAATCAACTCATGTCCTACTACGATGAACTGAAACGCTTGAAGCCGCTGCATGCTTGTACTTGTGGAGGATGTACATGCAAAATTGCTGAAAAGTTTGCCGCGGACAGAGAGGAGGAAAAACTTCATCAATTTTTGATAGGAATTGATGATGAATATTACGCCGTTACTCGATCTAATTTGCTTTCGCAACCAACCCCGGTAACTCTTGACCGTGCTTATCAAACATTAATCCAGGAGGAAAAATCTAAGGATATAGCCCGAGGCAAGGCATTGAAGGAGGAAACACAGGCTTTTGCCTTGCGTGCTGATCCACCAAACTCCAAACCTGGCCGCATCGATAAGGAAAAGCTCTATTGCAGTCATTGCCAACAGAAAGGACACGAAGTGGGGACATGCTTCAAACTACACGGATATCCGGAGTGGTGGACTGACCGGAATCGGAATGGCAAAGGGAATGGTACTGGTCGCGGCAGTCAGGGGACGAACCAAGGGAAGAAGCATGTGCAGGCCCATTCTCTGGTAGATGAGCACTCGCAGACAGAGACGCATGGACTCATTGGGCAGCTCAAACCGGAGGATCTTCAGGCTTTACTTAATCTGATTAACTCCGAAAAGGGGAATGCTAATTCAGACCATATGAGCGGTAAGGCGGGTTCTTTTCCTTGGATTCTTGACAGCGGGGCCACACATCACGTCACAGGCAATGCCAATTTGATTTCTCATGGTACGCCGGTTGACCGATGGACAGTGGGATTGCCAAATGGGCAGCGTGCCACAGCTACGGTGATCGGAGATGTGCAACTCTCGGATGCGTTCGTTCTCACAAATGTTTTATGCGTGCCTAACCTGCAATGCAATTTAATTTCTATTGCACAATTAATAGATGATTCAAAATGTGTTGTGAAATTTACTAATGACTTGTGTGCTATACAGGACCAACTCTCGGGGAACCTGATTGGAGCCGGTGAGCGTCGGGACGGACTCTACTACTATCGTAGCATTCCACGCATTCAGTTGATCACTTCCGCTGGGCTCGGCAATTTTGATTTATGGCATCGACGGTTGGGGCACCCTTCTGATCGCGTGCTCAAGTTAGTTCCTGTCATTTCTTCTGCAACAGGGATTAAGTCTCTTAATAAGCCGTGTATGGCATGTCCTATGGCAAAGAAAAAACGTGATGTTTTCCCTAGTAGTATAAATAAAGCTTCTCGTATTTTTGAACTTTTACATTGTGATTTGTGGGGGCCCAACCGGACTCCGTCCTCTTGCGATGCTGTTTATTTTTTGACAATTGTGGATGATTTTTCCCGTGGTGTTTGGGTGTACCTTTTACGTAATAAGAGTGAAGTTCATAAAGTTTTTAGTACTTTCCTGGCTA